GTTGTTGTTGGTTACTTTTCACAGGAATTTGTATATTTTGGTTAGATGTTGAATTGGCATTTTTCCCCATAACATGGAGTGTTCTCAACTCTTTTAGATGGGAGCTGTGTGGCATGCCTTTCTTGGTTCAATTTGGCTCTTGTCAGTTGACTGGTTCCTTCTTTTGTCATAGCTCTGGCAGAAAGAGTAGCTGTATGTTGAAATGCTGCCAGTATAGTCTGAATGCGAAAATATGTATCCACATATTTTCGCATTCAGAGTATACTGGCAGCATGTCAACAGGTTAGATGAGAAGGAAAAGGTTACTTGCAATCCTGGAACAATTCAGACATCAGATTTTCATCTGGAATGATGGAAGTGTGGAACCAACAGCAGGTTCACAAGAATTCATGCAAGGAACCCATTTTACACTTGGTTTTCACCAGAAGAAAAGAGAGATATAGATCATCAATGAGCTGAAAGGTGCTGGGGAACTTCATGGATGGATGTCTTCTTGGAGAGAAATAGGGTGTTCTTTTGCTATTAAAAATAGCATAAAAGATTTATTTCAAAGAGCTGAACATTTTATCCATTGTTCCCATCTGTCTGAATTTACTTCTTGGCTTAGGGAAGGTAGTTGAGGGATGACTGTCAATGTGAGTCAGTGTACAATATGAAGTTCCAGCTAAAATAAAGAAAAAATACTATAGAAATCTTTCTGAGTAATATCCAACATGTTCCTAAGGAATGGCATTTTAATATTGCTTCCTGAAGGAAAGAGGAACAAATAAGCTTACAAAGACAAATATGAAAATAGTAGATAGGGAATAAAGATTTTATACTGGGCAGAATAGGATAGGAACATGAGATAATGTTGGAAAGGGAAAGGAAGAGAGAGAGAGAAAGAAAAATGCCTGGGATGAGGATAAAGTCTATTGTCCAGTGACATGACTTTACCTGTCAATCACAAAGGTGACAAGGGGGCTAGATTAAGCAAAGCTTCATCAAGATTAACAAAGGAAGATTATTGACCTCATCGTGAAAGGGCAGAAGCCTGTTTTATCATTAAACCTTGGAAGAAGGATGTTCTGTCTTGATGGGAAACCCTGTTGGAAATTAGAAGTTTAACTTTGTCTGTGATTATCTGGATGAACTCAGAATAAGCAGTTCTTGGGCCCATCACTTTTATTCTCAGTATGGGGGGAGCAGAAGAAGGGAGGAGGGAAGCAAAGGTTCTGAGTGCATTCTCAGCTGTGCTTTGAAGAGAGGAAGTGAGAAACTGGCAAGTACTAGGGTAAGTACAATATCAGTTTGGAAGAGAGTTTGAAGGAGGGCTTGTGGTTTTATTAGTTTTTAAAAAGCAGTTGTTACTCGTTTGAATTGAATGTTGCCGGAGCATATCGGATTTGCACGAGATTTACCAGGCAAAATCTCTGTGCATGGAAACAGCCACTAACCTCATAAAACTATTAGAAGGATTAACATAGTCAAAGGCTGAAATGTAATCAAACTTGAACAGGTGAATGGATTCCTAGTAGAGAGCAATATTCCAGAAAGCAGGTGATGGGGAGCAGGTAGGACGACAACACTGGGTTGTTTGACACTGGGATAATAGCTGTTCTTTCCTAGGATTCATTGGTGTGTTGAACTTTTAGTTTTTTCACTGATTCTCCCATAGAAAATTCATCTGGGAACACTTCAAAGTGTGGTATGCTTTTCTTTTACTGTTACATTTCTATTAAGGTTCTATTCCCCTGCAAATACAGAGCACAACCCCACTTGTCAATGGAGTAAATTAATCACCCAAATTATTAATCTGGAATAAATACCCACCTCCACCCCATTTCTCACATATGGCCACAAATCATGATTATAACTTCTACTTTAATGCTGAGGACTAGAGATAATAGGTGTGGCAGTTTGTGTGCGTATGATTTAATTACCTGCTTACAAATCTGAATGTTGTCAAAGTTTTACATTCCTAGGAACACCAGACGTGTCAAATAATTTTGATATGTGCTTCCAGGTAGGGAGGCAAAAGTCTTTTCCCCCTGCTTCCCCAAGTCTGCCTAAACTTTTGCAGTTTTCTAGCTCTGCTGTCAAGTGCTTATTTAAGAGATATGAACTGAAGTGAGTTGCTTTTGGTCTGATGCAAACATATTCTGTTGTTTGGTCCTCATATTATCTTTGGGTGTTATAATGAGCTTACCAAGATCCAAATACGATTTTCAGAAGGATTTTTGTGATCTAGCTCTTTTCATGTCCCATATTTGAATGCTTCCTTAGTTCAAAACCACCTTTAGAAAACTCAACATGTGAGTGTAAAGGCTTTTTTTCTAATATTCCTCTAATGTGCTAGCTGTGCGTATGGTTTTCTTTTTGGGTGCAGGGGGAGGGAATTAAACATATAATGCCCTTATATGCATTGTGCTGCAGTTCAATAAGGACTACGGCTTATAAGTTCAATAAAGTTTATGCCATTTGCTTTTTTATTTGAATGTGTAGGACAAATTGCTTTAACTCTGTGACTTGATGATCTTCACATTTCAATACATTGGAGCAAGGAATACATGATAGTAGCATTCATATAAATTATTCTGTAGTGATCAAAAGAGTACTATTTCATATGTGTAGGCTGTAAAGTGTTGTTATTGTTGTGTGCCTTCAAGTCGTGGGGTTTTCTTGGCAAGATTTCTTCATAGGGGTTTCCCATTACCTTACTCTAAGACTGAGAGAATGTGATTTGCCCATATTAACCCAATTAGTTTCTGTAGATGAGTAGGGATGTTAACCCAGGTCTCACGAAGTCTTTGCATGCATCTAGACTGTAGAATGAATGTGATCTGGCACCACTTTAGCAGCCATGGTTCATTGCTATGGAATCGTGGGAGCTTAGGCACCAGCAGTCTTTGGCAGAGAAGTCTAAGGACTTTGCTACACAACAAGTGGTAGAATTCCATAGTGCAGGCTTATTGCAGTTAAAGTGGTTTAGATGTACATGCAGTCAAACACTCAAAACAGACTGGCTCATGCATTACTTGAGAACAAAGAAATGTTGACCTCAAGGAAACCTGTAGCTTTACCAAACTTGGTTGCTTCTTCTAACACCAGATGAGAAAAAAAAAATCATGTCAGCGCCTTGAATAATTTCTAGTATATAGACACTGTCAAATCTTAATTTCATTTATAGCACCTCTATAACACAAATACATTTTTGGAAGTCATACTTACATGTACTATATCAATAGACTTACAAGGCTAAACATCTATGCTTATTTACTGTTTGAACCTTTTAATGCACATGTGCTCTGGTCAGAGCTGCCACTATTACCTTCTTTCAAATCACATGTTTTTGTTTTGTTTTGTTTTGTTTTTTGCAATGCACTGTTTTCATTACTGCTAGCTTTTTATAGTCATGTTTTGGTATTTTTATCTACAATATTGTAGTGTGGTCTGATTGAGGAGGAGGTCCACAGGGTTACACCATGACCTGCCAAATTGGGTGACTCCCTAGTGATGCCACTTCTAAATATAGGTTCAATAAGAGTGGAGGGCCAAAGACTTTATGTTGGCAGGTCTGTTTCATAATACTACTATGGCAGTAGGTGTCTTCATTCCATACAAGAGTCACCCAGAACCTTATTTCAGACATGGCTTTGGAACTGGGATTACTTCTGTACATCACGGAGCAGTTGCGGGGAGATCAGTTGTAAAACAGGAGAATAGATCTTCACCCTCAAACAAAAAAAATCCACCTGCCTCTCTTGCTATGTTTAGAAGAAAACAACCATAGCATGGATGTCAACCAGAAAAAAAAAGGATGGACCTAAAAAGGGGCACTGTTGTGTGAGCCCATAGAGAAGGGGTGGAAGTGGAATGCAATTTAAAGACTTAAACATATTATGGCATAGCATTTTGTGGGCAAGAGCCTACATCTTCAGATCTATCAAAAGACTTTCAACACAATTATAGCCCGGCAGCAGAATAAACATTTTAAGAGACACAAACAACATGAAACTAAAAGAAAATCCCCAAAAGAGGAGGAGGGAGAATCAAATAAAGGCCAAAAGGTAAAGGAGGGGGAGAGAGGGTGTTGTTTGAAATATATCAGAAAGTGTGAAGAAGGCTGGTTTCATCAGGACAGAACAGAATGTGGCTATTAAGAGTCAAATCCATTAAAATAGGTGAGAATATTCTTGGTGACTTTAATGAGAGCCAGATCTCACCTTTGCTGGAGCAAGATGTGTGCTTATGTCATTGGACTTACCATTTACAAGCATCATTAGAACCACTGTTGTTCTACAAGCTTTGTCTTTAAAAGAGTCTTTTCAAAAGAAAGAAAGAAAGAAAGAAAGAAAGAAAGAAAAAGAGAGATGGAAGTGGAGTGGGGAGAGAGAATAAATTAGAAAGAATCATCTGATCAAATCCAGGGAGAAAAGATAGTTATTTAAACTGCATGTTGTGATGGGGAAAGGATGAGGCCATTGTGGTATAAGGTATTTGGTTATTGCTTCATTTTCAAAGGTATCTAACCATACTGATATTAGGTACTTAGAAAAAAAAAAGGAAACAGAAAATTAATGATGCTTAGTCAAAGCAAAGAAGAAGAAAGGTTTTTTAAAAAGTCCCCAAAGGTGGAACATAAAAAGCTGTAAAGGAGCAAACAATTAAAGGTAATCCATACAGTCGTTATTGGAAAAGCTGTGAACATTAACTGTTCTCATTTGGAAGAAAATATATATATAATGTTTCTCTCCAGAGCGCTAATCTTTTCTCACTTCAGCCTGTAATCTTAGTTTATCCTTGATGAAAAGGCTTTGTTCTCTGTGTTTTTGAAGCTATACTTCTTTCTTTTCTTCTTCTTCCTCACCATTAAATAAAGGTTTTGACAGAGGAACAAATAGCAATGAACTCAAATGGGAAAAAAGGATTGTTATTTTTTTCCTTTTCTTTGTGTATACACGTGGTTAACATTTTCCTCCCCTGAAGAGGTGTTTCATTTGCTCTTATTTCTCTTTCAGGAAGTTGATGGCAATAAAGTGATGTCTTCATTTGCTCCACACAACTCATCTACCTCACCCTCGAAGGCAGAAGAAGGTGGGCGTCAAAGTGGAGAGTCTTTCTCCAGTACAGCCCTCGGTACTCCTGAGAGACGTAAAGGCAGTCTAGCAGATGTTGTGGACACATTAAAACAGAGGAAAATGGAGGAGCTCATCAAGAATGAACCAGAAGGTATGATTTCCTAGACAAGGAGAAATTTTCTGTGATTATCTGTAATATCAGTAGTGATTCCCCAATAATGACACATACTATTCTGATATGAAGTACCTGCTGACTGAACTTCTCCTCAGTTGCTGTTTGTGTTCAGACAATGCAAAACCATCATTTAATTCCACAAAGCGCGATACACAGTTAGCCTCGGGCTTCCTCTTCCAACACAGTTGAGTAAACAACAAAGTCTGTTTCTATTTTACTTTAGCTATAGCTTATAGTGTGTCATCCAAGCCCTAACCTGTGGTTAATCTTAACTGTTGTTCATCAGAACAAGCCAGCTTCATCGTTCATGATTTGATGCTTGCTTGTCTTATCCAACAGTTAAGATTAATCATGGTTTGTTGAAGTTCTCATGTCACAACAAGCTGCAATTAAAAGTTTTTAAACCCACCTCATGGCCATGAAAGACAAAGGGAGGAAAGGGAGCTATTTGAACTGAGGTTTCTGTAAAGCAGCATTTTTTTCAGGCTATCTAACATGGAAGCTGGCAATTACTTTTTCCCAATGTGCTAAAGACCAGTACCATATTTTTTCCTATTGGCTACAATTGTTTCTTTCCTTCTTGGAAACTCTCCAGCGACTGGCAGCTTAAGTATTGGGGAACTGGTCCTATTCCAGAAATCACCACTTTGAGTCTCACTGCCTGTAACATCAAGCCATGCTTTAATGTGAAAATTAATCTACAGTCCCATTCAGATCTTGGAAGTTTTTTAGATTACACCTCCTGGTCAAGATGCTGAGAGAGCTGGATGTGCTGGATTTTTGAGATGTAATCATCCAAACAATGAGTATAAAGATGGATTTATGAGGAACCCCAAGGAATACTAAGAGCTGAGGTAGTCAAAACTAAAGCACAACAGAATTCTTATATCCTTGTATACTGTCTGATTACTGTAAAAAAAACATTCAACAAGAGAAATCTCAAGAAGTTAAAAAGAGGAAATATGCCTTATGATATCATTGAATGACTGCAGACTTTGTATTTTTCTTCCTCAGTGAGGTATTCTTGCCATCTTTAGGTGTTTTGATTTTTCTAAACTCCTTTTCTTCATTATGTTCTACATCAAAAAATTGTTGTCGTCATCATCTCCTCCTCCTTCTCCCATGGGTAGGGAGCTTTCGTGGGGAATGTGATCCCATCTCAAGGTCCTTGTCTGAACTGGCTTTAGATAAGGACCTAAATCCAACTGTTATTCTCAACTAGTGGAAAGCTACTGAATCACTGGAAACTTGGTAAATCAGAGAAAATAATTCAATATTTCTTTTGTAGAAACTTCACAATGGAATTTAGACCAGAAAAATTCATGATGAGAAAAGTATTTGTGAAAAGTTTTAATAGACTCTCCATAGGTTCTAGCCAGTCCTATATACTGCTGAACAATTGGATATCTTGAGGCTTTTGTTTGGCTTGGTTATTCATTGGAGGAGATCCTGTGACATTTTGATAACCTCTCTGCTTTTCAATAAGAAGCTGCTGTTGGGTATTGTTCATCTTGCTATTTCCTTATTCTTGATTTTGTGGATTCGTAGAAAGTAAGGCAAATGTTGTGAGAGGAGCCGACATTGTACTGTTGTGAGAAAACCGCGTGGTAGTTGTGAGAAAATGAGTTTAGAGAAACTGTAGTCCCATTACAATGGATGATGGATTGTGAATTAAATAAAAATAGAACTGTAAATAGTTTAGCATTTTTCACACCATTGTTAACAGCAGCCCAGCTCCATCCCTTGTAGAGTTTGGCTGGAATCCAACTGTATCTGTCAGCTGTATGGACCATCTCATTTTGTTCTGAGAAAACTAATCACCATGGTGACAGGAGCAATGGCAACTGCTTCCTGCCCACTTCCCCTTGGGTTATTAATGTTGTCAAAATTGTTGGAGAAAAGTTCTTGGTGTTAACAATGGAGCAAGGTTTGACGAGAGGGGATGTCAAGTGGTATAGAGTTTAGCTTCAGCAGCTTACATGAATGGGTGAATGGTAGGAGAGTGAACCTTCTAAATCAAAAATCCCAAAGAAATGTGGAATATTGACATGCTGACTTCCTCTACATGTATGCAGAAAAGAGCAGGCCAAATTTGTTTTATGATAAGATGAATCTTTTTACTTATTTGGACAGATTAATTTTTTTCCTGCAGTTTGAAGATGGAAGTCATCGGATCATGTCATCGGAAGTACTGTGGCTTGAGTGAGGTTGCAAAGAAGCATGTGTTTCCCTTTTGTCTTCCTTTTTAGAGACTCTGAACCTACAAGCAGGAACTTTTTCATTTTATTCAATGGCAATAGAATTCTTGGTGTCCTGATTCATTTTCAGTGTCTATTATGTTGACCATAACAGGAGGAAGAGTAAAAAAGCTGGGATCCAAAGCTAGGATGGTCATTCACATGTTGGTCTTTAAGGCACTACTTAACACTAACATAGAGGAGTCTGTGTTTAAGGAAGGAAGACAAGAAAGAGAAAAAAAGGATAATATTCTCATAAAGTCTTCCCACCAGTATGGTGGTTATGTCAGAGGCCTGGACAGACCTGCAAAAATCTGCTTTTCATTTGTTAAAAGGAGAGAGGTTTTTTGGAAGGCAGGGGAGGTTGCAAATCCTGTCCATTTTAGCTTGGGGATACTGGGAACTACAATTAAAGAAAGGATTCCATCCTCAAGCTTTTTTTGTTGTTGCTTTTCAGTTCTCCAAATGTGATTATCTATGTTATCCATTTGAGAAGACAAAAAAATAGTTTCCATCTGAGATAGTATTTGAGGTGCACCAAAATTTGCAGAGAAGCTAGTTAAGAGGGACCTGAAAAATATAGTGTTCTTTGCCTTGTACTCACATGCTTGTGTGATGTGATTGCAAATTAGTCTGTTCCTATTGAATGAAGCCCACAATAAGAGTCTGCTGGAAAACAACTGCTTTGTTTAATGCCCATTTATCCTCAGTCCTTTCCTTCTTCCCTTCCCCCATTATTTTCCCCTTTTCTTCTCCCCCTCCCCAACCTACCAATAGAGAGACATATTGAATAGATTGGAGCATTGTTGTTTGCTTTTAGACAGATATTGTGGCCTCAGCATTAAGACTGATTTCATAGTTTTGACTGGGAAGGACCTTCTGGAGATGATGTCCATGTCATGTCTCTTGAGTAGTCGATGGGGGAGGCGAATTGGAATGAGGGAGGGATGGGAGTCGGTTGTGAAAATGCTGTGTTGAGTGGGAGGCCATGCATATGCCAGAGACTCCATTAAGTAAAGGTTACAGTTAGACATAAGAATGGTAACAGAGCTTATGCATTATCTCAGCTCTGCTGAAATGAAAATGTATAGCACAAACAAAAGACCTACAGCTTTGCGAAGAGATGAGGGACGAGGTATTGGGAGTACTACAAAACATGGGGGCTTTTAAACAAATGCATGCAGCAGGAAAGTCTTTTCTTCCCTCCAGCTATTGTTCTATTGTCTTTCAAAGGCCATTAAAATGAACAGCAGGTTGTGATGAAAATTTCATTAAGCTCTAGTTAAATCATTATGAGGGTGCCATATTCAGGCTTCAGCTCTTTTTCCCATTGAGGAGGCAGGAGAAAAACAAACGAATTGACAATGAGCGGGGGGGGGGGGTTTATCCTACCTCCCCAAATCAAACAACAACAACAACGACGATGATGAAAGTTGGGATGTTGGAAGACTGAAGTAAACAGAGTATGACACAAAAAGAGAGCTTATTGGTGCACCTGCTCAGAAGGCAGGAGATGAAGATCGAGACCAAAAAGAAATGATTTAAAAAGGGTCTGCATTAGCATTATTAGGTGTTCTTTTCCTCAGATTTTTCCCAAAGAAGGTATCTAATTTTTTTTAAAAAAAACTTTTTTAAAAAAAAGCAGCAAAAACAGTTGCTACTTTGAAAATGGTGCCAGAACTTCCTCATCACACTAGAAAATGAATCCACTTTAAATCCGGTTGCTGCCTCCTGCAGAATTCTGGGGTTTGTAGTTTAGGGATGAGTCTGTAATAACCTCACTAAACTACAAACCCCAGAATTCTACAGGAGGCAGAAACCGGCTTTAAAGTGGATTCATTGTCTGGTGTGATGAAGTAGTGAGAAAGGAGAGAGAAAGAGTTCTGTGAACATAAGTTGCTTGTTGTGAAAGTTACCTTTACTAGCTTTTAAAAATATCAGCAAGATCTATGGGGGATTATTTGAATAAAAAAGGAAACAAGCTGAGCAGTTCTGTTATCTGTTGCATTGGCAACTTGATTGGAAGGTCAGAACATAGTTTTATAAGCTCCTTTTAGTGACTTCTATGTGGTTAGAAAACCTCTAGTCCTGTAGTCAAATGCTTGCAGTCCGGTGCACAAATATCATTGTGTTTTATTTTAATTTTTTCTCTGAAGATAGAAAGAAGGAAGAATTGATTCCCCGGAGTGCACCCAACTCTCCAATTGATGCTGTCTAGAAGTCAGGCTTAAAAGTTGGAGTTCCTCCACTAGTACCTAGGGTCTTTCTTCCATCAGAAGTTCCTCCACTAGTACCTAGGGTCTTTCTTCCATCAGCAGCCACTGCTTTGGCATGAGAATAAGAAAACTACAAAATATAATGATCAACAAACCAATTTTTCAGTCAAACATGGTGGGTAAAGGAGGGAAAAATGAAATGTAGGCTTACCAATTTTTGTAGCAACCCTATTATCTGAATCACATCTAGTTCTGTCCTAAACCTGTACATTAAAATGTAAATTTCTTTGCCATTCCAGAAACCACGTATTTATACATTAGCTCAGGGTATAGTTTTTCTCCAACATGTCTTGACGTCCAAATACTATAATTTTCAATATTTGAAAGCTCAAACTATGCTAGCAAAGTTGTACCCAATTAAGAAAGTGGTATTTTACCAACCAAAGAAGTGTGCTGACAGGATGTGCTTCAATATTATGTGCAACATGCAGACAAAACAGCAAGCCCATTTCACCCGATGGGA